CTGACTCTCTGGTGAGACAGTAGAGGCTGTTGTGGCAGGCGCATTGTATGTGCGATGCCCTTCGTGCGCACAGGCGTGGGTGTCGCAGCGGTCGGCCCCCCAAAACAAGGGGGGGGCCGACCGGCAAGCGCCCTGAGTTTAGGGTTTAGGGTTGAGGGTTTATGGTTTATGGTTCTTAGTATTGGAACATAGTATAGGGTTTAGGGTCTAGGGTTTGCGGTAGTAGGGAATAAGGAAATATACTAGATGTCTATTCCTTTATTCCTCACTGAGAACCAGTAAGTGTTTACAACGTACCGGATTTAGGAGTTACACGGCGACCTGGACGTACCTCACACGGATGTTGTGAAACTCCAGCATAGCCACAGGCAGCCACACTCATCCTCCATCCATGCTGGGACGGAATCCCTTTGTGCTTGGTGCTGGTTTTGATGAGGCGTTCTAACATGTCCCAAGAGGAGCTGCACATAACCCCCGCCTCGCATGCCAGTGAGGGCATGAAACCTCTACAACAGTTCCCTTACGTAGACGGATGCCTGAACAGCCTCCTCTGAACGGTCCCGTATCACTTCCTGGATACCAAACAGATCTTGACAATTCGACAGAAGGGCAGCAAGAAACGTGCATGGTCGTCAAACCGGATGCCAACGCTTCGCTCATGCTGTACCACCTTCAGAAACTGAGGAAATGCTGGCAACCTTGGGGCTCAAGCTTCACGATTTGACGTTATTTTTACGAAGGAAAGACCGCCTCTGACAGGGGACAAAAATCTCACCGTAATGAGGAACGAGGGGGCGTTCCGAGGTAGTTCGAGTTCATACTGAGGAATCAAAACCGGATCGTCTCCTTCATCTCCTAGCTTTGCACTATTTCTGTACGTCCTTCATGTCTTAGGATCTTCATGGATGTCTGGAGAGCTAGTTTACAAGAGCTGGCCTTTTTAAATGCAGAACACTTCGGGTATTCTGAGAGCTCCTGTACTTCGGTGAGGTGTAAATGGATCCCTACAGCGCTCGCGCGTGAGACAGACTGCGCAGGGCAGTCTAGCTTCTCTTCCAAAACCCTAAACCTTAAATCCTAAACTGGAGTGTTGGTCAACTCAGCCTTGTCTCAATGCTTCACAGGAGCTTCTCTCTGTCTGTGGTCTGCAGCCCAACAGCCGAGCCGGTGCGCACGGAAGAGTTTACAATTAGAGACAAGACTCCAGAGGAATTGGAATTCAACATGAGATTTCCTCAATGTTTAAGAGGTACAGTGTCTATAAGGCTTTTCTCAAGGAATCTCCAAACGAATCTAAAGGACTTATATGACTAGACTACGTAACTAGATTTCATTGAGGAGTGCGCTTGCTCATTGGGAACTTCTTACATATAATGTAACTAATGTTAGACTAATGTCCGAAATCATATAAGAAGTATTAGAAGTCATTGACGGCTGTCTGAAAAAGTCTGCTTTCATAGTATAAGAACAGGGCCCCGCCTAAGTCTTTCTATAACGTTCTCCTACCAACTACAGAATATTCCAGAACGGGCCGCGTCTCGTTAATTCTTAGGGCACCAAATCCGAGACTGTGAGCCACTAAACCCTGAATCGAAAACTCCAATCCTGATCCGAGATCCCTGAACCTGAGCCCTAATCCCAAACCCCTTATACCCCTCCCTAAACCCCATACATCCTTATAAACCCCTTTAACCCTAAATCTAAAACTCCAATCCTGACCCGAGATCCTGAACCTTACCTGGAAATCCAACCCAGACCCCTGGGCAAAGCAGATCCCCCTTAAGGGTTCCTATACTCTCTTCCCCAATAACCAGGGCTAAAAAAAGTTTAAACTTTGTTATAAACACCCAAAAAGGAAGCCCAAAAAGTTTAAAGTGCTCCTATCGGCTAAGTAAGTATAAATTACCCAGTAGTAGTAACTTAGTAGATAAGGTGCCATAATGGGGGTTCTACTTTGTAGGTCCTCTGAGGTGCCATGAGCCCTATACCCTAAATCCTACATAAACCCTTGAAGCCCTACAGCCCCTACAATTATGCATGTAACCCCCCTATATACCGCCAGTGTCCATTTCATTTTCGATGTTCTTATCCAGTTGATTCTCCACTATTGGGGGATTATTGGGGGATTATCCCTAAACCCTAAACGTAGTTTCCAGTTTCTTTTTGCATTGTCCACTAACCCAAGCACAAAGCCCTAAGCCCACAACCCTAGATAAATCCCTAAACCCCAAAACCCTAAAACCCTAAACCCTAAATCCCTACACTCTAAGCCCAAAACCCTAAACCCCTAAACCCTTAATTAAGACCCTAAACTCTACGCCCAAAACCCTAAACCCCTAAACCCCAAAAACTAATCCCTACACCGTCACCAGACCAGGCCTAGACTGAGACTTCGCCTTTGCTTTCGGCGCCTTTGGACCTGCCAAGAAAGCGGTTTAGGGTTTAGGGCCGTTAGGGTTTAGGGTAAAGCCCAATATTTTTCAACCAGGGGATATTCGCGACATGATAAGGTTTTGGGTTTAAGGTTGAGGGTTTAAATGGTATACCATAAATAGTATTAGGTATGTTAGAAACCCAGTATTTATCAACTACGTGGCACTTAGGACCCCTACTACGGGTTAACCCTTAGCTACCTATAATGGGAGTATCAGGGAATCCGAAAGGCTTAAGGGTCTAAGGTCCAAGCTAAGTCCTAAGGAGTCATTCAGGGGATTTTCGCGACATGATAAGATTTAGGGTTTAAGGTTTAAAGCGTACACGCTAAATGGTAGCAAAATACCTAGTCTGACTTAAGGTATATTCCCTAATTGAGGGATATTGGGCCTGCCCGAACCCTAAACCCTGATATTTAAACTCCCTTTTTTTCCAATGCGCAAGCCTTGGTCAGAAAGGCCGTCTGCTTCGGCAGTTATCATCTAATTGTTCTCTTGGGCGGTTTATGTACAAGTCTTGCCCAATTCCTACGGTTGAGAGTTTCAGGGAGGACCCTTCTATAAAGTGAGGTGTTGTCCATCCACATAAGGGAGTTAGTTACATGAGAGGAGCGTACAGAAGTAATATTAGGAATACGAAAAAAGGAGTGGTTAATATCATAGTGGGAAGGAGGATCGTCTGACTCTAAATGAATTAACCGATTGGAGGCCTCTGTCATAGTGGATTCAGCCCAATGGAGGCCAGGGCGCCCAACTAAAACTCCCTAAAACCCTAAACCCTATACCTTAAACCGCGAGGTAGATTCCCTAATTGAGGAGTATTGGGCTTTCTGGATGTTGCGTTGAGGCGAGGAAATGCTTGCCTAGGCAGGTTTAGGGCTTTAGGGTCTTAAGGTTTAGGGTCGAAGTTTCAGGATTTTAGGCCTGTAGAGTTTAGGGATGTAGGGTCTAAGTTTCACGGCTTAAGAGGATGTAAGGTCTATGCTTCAGGGTGTTAGAGTTTAGAGATTGAGGGCCTCAGTTTCAGGGCTTTAAGGCTTGAGAGCTGTAGGGATTTGAGGTTTTGGTTCAGGTCTTTAGGGTTTGAAGACTGTAGGGATTGAGGATCTAAGTTTCAGGGTTTTAGGTTTCAGTGTTAAGGATTTCGCGTCCAAGTTTCTGGGTTTTAGGGTTTAGGGTCAAAGTTTCAGAGATTTAGGGTTTGATGGCCGTGGGGTTTGAAGGTTTAGGGTCTGAAGTTTCAGGGCTCTAGGGCTTAAGTTTCAGGGCTCCAGGGTTTCGAGTTTTGGCGTTTCGGGTTTCGGGGTTGAGGGTCTTAAGTCTCGGGGCTTTAGGGCTTGAGGGTTTAAAGGATTTACAGTTCAGGGTCGTAATTTTTGGGGTTTAAGGGTTTAGGGTTGTTGGGTTTTCAGGTTTTAAGGTCTTATGTTTCAGACTTTGGGGGGTTCAGAACTTTAGGGTTTTGAGGCTTAATTAGCGTGTTGAGTTTCAGGGTTTTAGTCTTTATGGTTTTAGGGCTTTCAGTGTTTGAGGTTCTAGAGGTTGGGGCTTGACGCTACGGGATCCAACGCGCACATTGGCAAAAGTTTAGAGCTCACCCCAGGGGTAAACGGTGATCGTATCTGGGGATTGTTGAAAAGCTACCAGCTTGCAAAAAAATCCAGTAGCAGCGTTCATACGTCAAGCCCTGAAATCCAAACCCTAAGGCCAGGGCACGCTGGACGGACACATAAATAGCGGCCTCTCCGTTTTCAGTCTAGCCTGCATACTTGGGCACGCTCTATATCTGTAAATATATATATATACCGACACACACAAAGGTTCCTAAGGACCCTATATACACCTACCGATCTGTTTAATACCATCAGAAAGTATGTGAAGATTCTATACTGGACTTCCTTTCAAGATAACCCTAGCCCTATAGGAGCGGCATTGCGTTGCATATTCGACATTTTCCATTTGAGTCTCCACTACTGGGATAAAAACCCTCAGGCCTAAAGCCCAAAGCTTTCACACTAAACCCTGAGTCCAAACCCTATCTCCTAAATCCTTACCCAAACTCCAAAAGTATGTAAAATGATCGCCCTAAACCCCTGGTAATAGCCATAAAGGCCATTATCTTATATACTTTTGGGGTACAGGTAATCCTAAATCCTAGACCCTGGACAGCATCCCTAATCTCAATCTCTGATGCTCCCTGGAATTCACGGCGCGTTGCGACTGCCTAGGGTTGAGGGTAGGGACCCTGAACCCCTAAGCCCTAAACCCTTAGGGACGGTAAGGACTTTTCCTTCAGAGCCTGAGGGTTTGTTGCAATGCCTTTGGAATCCTGAGGAGATGAAATATGGTCCTTAATGAGGCCATTTGGCACCCAAAACCCTAATTCAACCCTAAACCATGAGGTACAACTTCAAGTCTGTGATAAAACTTGGACTTGAACCCGCGTGGGTTCTACATCAAGTGGTTCCTATGACTCCCATGAAACGAGGAAGCGTCTGTCCTGTTTCAGTCCTACACTCTAAATCCTCAGAGCCCTAGGCACTAGAAACCAGAACCCCTAAATCAAAGCCACGGCCAGGAACCTAAACCCTGAACCCCTAAGGGTCCAAGTACCCAATATTTAGGTACTTGGGATTTGGGTAATAGTCATTTTAGTATATATTTTGGGTAAGTATATGATTATTAATCTCTTCCCCATATTAATAAAACCACCCCTAATAATAAATGATGAATCCGGGACCCTAAAAATTCCTCATGAGCATTTGGGCTGTACTAATTTTAAACGGAGCCAGACCATAATGAATGAGAGGGGGGTTGAGTATAATGGAAAATATAAAGGAATTAGGGATCCCCCTGACATCCGAGGTTTTGGTTGATTTTCATATAGGTTTTATAAAGGATTTTATATAGAACTGAATGCGATTCTAATTGATTTTATCACCGTTTTAGCCGTACTTAATTAAATCTCAATCGAATTTCATTCGATTTCAAATGATTTTGAATTGATTTTGATCGATTTTATTTGATTTTAAATGGAATTTTACTTGAACTTCTATTGATTCTAACGGGATTTTAATTCGATTTCAATTGATTCTTAACGGGATTTTACTTCGATTTCAATTGATTTTAAGAGGAATGTTAATTCGATTTCAATTGATTGAAAAAAGAGGTAAATTTCTATTGGTTCTAACGGGATTTTAATT